TTTCTTGATGTTTCTTGATGTTTCTTGATGTTTCTTGATGTTTCTTGATGTTTCTTGATGTTTCTTGATGTTTCTTGATGTTTCTTGATGTTTCTTGATGTTTCTTGATGTTTCTTGATGTTTCTTGATGTTTCCTGATGTTTCTTGATGTTTCTTGATGTTTCTTGATGTTTCTTGATGTTGCTTGATGTTTCTTGATGTTTCTTGATGATATATGTGATATATATATAATACACATAATATATATATATATGTAATATAATATCTATGCAATAATTTCTATACATTTCTATGATATTCACACTGTTGTACGGCAGTTTCACTCAACATCTTCTAAAGTCAGCGCATCCCATGGCTAGAATCCAGCTGGCACGTCAGGTGAAACCAGGGCAAAGGATTATTGGGACAATATCTTCATATCCTCCAATAGTCAGCCATAAATGCGGTAAATTCAAACATTTCAAACATTTCAAACATTTCAAACATTTCAAACATCACAAAATGAACACACTAAATGATCCGTTGCAATCCGGCTTCCAAGCGAGTGGGAGGGACAAAACGCATCACAACTTCTATTTCTGTCATGTCATAGTGCGTCCCATCTATTTTTTTATGCAGACCATGTGTTTATCACTCAGTGCGGGGAGGTCCGACAGGTCCAGTCCCAACCCATGCAAGTTGCACGGCCGCGAAGAGACCTCACAGGAATCGCGATTGGATGAAAATTGTTTAAGCAAAACCTATTGGTGATTTGTATCAGAGGTTCTACGCTTGAGCTTTGACCTATGAAGTGGGGTAGTTCTCGTTTTCCAATTGACATTTCAATCAGCAATGACAGATTTCTATCCACAATGTCCACTCATGATCGCCATATCGTCTGGGCCAGCGGCGGCTCAGCGGATCAGCGGATCAGCGGATCAGCGGACCAGCGGACCAGCGGATCAGCGGATCAGCGGATCAGCGGACCAGCGGACCAGCGGATCAGCGGATCAGCGGATCAGCGGATCAGCGGATCAGCGGACCAGCGGATCAGCAGATCAGCGGATCAGCGGATCAGCGGATCAGCGGACCAGCGGACCAGCGGATCAGCGGACCAGCGGATCAGTGGATCAGCGGATCAGCGCACCAGCGGATCAGCGGATCAAAGCAAAGTTCTAGAACGTACTTTTCAACCTGTCTATATCTACAAAGGCAATCTTGCTCAGTGACTTTTGCCTGCCAGGAAAAGGTCTCTCCTGCAAGCACCTTCTGTACAAGTAGCATGCCTTCCGCTTTCACAAGGCTGCCGCCCCTGCTCCGGGTTTTGTGGTGTCAGTGGTGGTTTTGCAGCTTGATTTCTGACACTTGTACCACGTGACATGACCAGCGATCACGGACGTACTTTTCAACATGTATATATCGGCAATCTTGCTCAGTGACCTTTGCCTGCCATGAAAAGGTGTCTCCTGCAAGCACCTTCTGTACACGTAGAATGCCTTCCGCTTTGACAAGGCCGCCGCCCCTGCTCCGGGTTTTGTGGTGTCAGTGGTGGTTTTGCAGCTTGATTTCTGACACTTGCACCACGTGACATGACCAGTGATCACGGAAAGAGTTCGCAGCTTGTGCCCCTGCTGTGCCTTTATTTTCAAACAGGAGAGAGAACCATGACCATGCGCAAACGTATCACACTAAGACAGTCCATACATTTCGCCGCAAGGCTGAGAAGAGCAACCAGAAACAAACCACGCAACTGCAGAGCCCAAGACCTTCCCTCCCGCCTGCGACTCTTCCTTTTCATGGCGCACGGGTTTAGCCAAGCTCTGATTGCTGAAGCCATACGAAATGCAGACCCGGCTGCGCAGATTTCAGATGGTTTGGTTGTGCATCTGGCAGCTGAGCTGCAACCTCTCTTCTCGACCAGAGTTGCTGCCTACGGTAGAGAAACTTGTGCCCAAGAGTTGCTCCCCTTGCCTCGGAGCTGTTCTGCGTGCAAAACCCGGCTAGCTGAATGCAGAGGTTCTGCCACGCCTGCGGCAGTGATAGACCTTTGTGGAGTCCACTGCATGTTCCACTGCGGTGTAGAAAGCCTTCATGCCCGGATTTTGGGGTGCTTCTTTGGTACAACTACTGCGTACGCAAAGGCAAGCATGTGTTCCAGGGAGAGCTGCCACTCTTGCAATGTTTCATGCTATCCTCGAGCTTTGGTTTTAGTATCCCTTGGCTGCGCCAGTTCCACCTGCGTTTGGTGCGTCAGCACGCATCATTCACGAGTGAAGCCGACGTACTGACGGCGCAAGCTGCCACCAATTCGCAGCTGCATCGTCTCCCCACTTCACGCTTGCGGCTGCTGATCAGCCAGGGATGGTTCACCTGGCGCTTGCTGACGCGTGGGCTTGAAGCCGGCTTGGATTTGTCTGTGGTAGATTTTCAATCTCCCATGGAGGACACGGCGTGCAGGTTCTTGGGTCCATTGCAAGCAGCATTCAGCCGGAAGGCCGTGGAAGGTGCTCAGCGTGCCAAAATGCGGTGCGATGTTATTGTTTTAGATGGCAATGCAAAGAACCGGAGGGCAGTCTGCGCCGCTGCGCTGGCGGGATGTTCTTACTCTCCAACCCTCCGCAGAACTTTGCGCCACACCTGCACAAAAACGCCTGCTTTCAAGCATTGCTTTTGCTTGCACCATTGTGAAGCTCCTGGCGCAGATCGTTCTCACACAGTGTCTTGGCTCGAATCCTCAAACATTTTCAGTTTTGTTTGCCTTCTCCTTCCGTGGGCTACTTTTTTGAATTAAAACCCCAGGGCTTCAGCGTCGGTGCTTGGGTCTGTGCTCGCGTTTGCAGGATGTTGAGATTCTACAACACAAGTCTATCAATGATGGGCAGCAACTGATGGTTTTGCTCCAGGAAACGACCGAACCTCGCAGGGAGGCTTGGGTCTTGGATTCCGCCGTGCCAGACACTGTCTTGAGCAAGTACTTGCGGCAAGTTGGGGCGGAGAAGCTGAAACTTCGCAAGCGTACTCATGAACCCCAACCTTCAGACACTGCAGGGCCTTCTCCCGCACCGCCGCTGTTGCAGGCGCAGGTTGAACCCGTGGCAGAGCTTGAGCAATGTTCAGATCCAGCGGATTTAGCGTCTGTTGCATGTTCAACGCACAAGGAAAGCAGTACTGCCCAGAGGCAACTTGCCAAGTCAGCGGGCATGCTTTGCGTATGCTTGTCCGAGGGCCTTATTTTGCACATGCAAGAGATTTATGGCTGCGAGTCTCTGAGCCAGCGCTACTTCTGCGTCGCTGCTGTCAAAGCTTTGCTGCCGACCCTGACGACAGTGGTGCACGATGATGCGTGCCACTTGCACAAGTATTGCGCGCGTCGAGCAGCGCACTCTCAAGCTGCGGCGCAGTTGTCGCCACCTCACATGACCTTTGTCTGCGACAAGTTCCACATGGCAGGCCACACGGATGCTTGGTGCAAGCAAACATGTGACCCGGAGCTCCCGTCCAACTCCGCTCTTCTCGCTGGTGTCAGGACTTCAGTTTGCGAGTTCACCTTCACATGGCTCAGCAAATACAAGCACCAAACCAAGCACATGAACGAATACGGTTTTCAGTTCTTCTTGCTCGACATGGCGTGGAGCCACAATGAAATCATTTTGCAGGGAGGCTACAGGCCGGAGGAGGTAGCTGGCTCTTTGGATGCTGAGGATGTTGCGTAGCAAGCCAAAAATGTTCGGACGCTTAGGGTTTGAAGTTTGGGAGCGCCATAGGTACGTAGCTCTTTATTCGAACGGGCTGTGGTGCTTGTAACATGTGACCATCTTTTGCTAGATCAGGTTGATTTTAGAATTGTGGTGCGGCTTTAGGTAGCCCGGTTCAAATTTGGTAGTTCGCAGCTTCTCGTGCGGAGCCATGTCCGGGGCTCCTGACGATGGGCAGTACGTGCCCGCCATGAAGCTGATGTGGGATGAGGTGGACAGACGTTTTGACCCCAAGTATGTCCTTGGAGAAGCCGGCCACCAGTTTTGCCAAAGCTATTCTGTCAGAGCTGCGCATCCTGAATTTCCTTACGCTTTGCATTGTCTTTCTTTGATGTGTGCTTTGGCGAATGGCGCGCGGGTCGCCATCTTTGCCACAGCACCGTCGCCTCTGACTTTGGTAGCGGTCAATGTCAACTATGCCCAGACCAGAAAGTCTTCCATGACTGGACACGCAGAGGCTTTGGGGCAAGAGTTGGACACAGTCATCTTGGAGAATGCGATGTCCAAGCTGCAGCAGGAAAGCTTTGAGGAGGGAGCGGCTCAAGTCCTGAGGCGGGGCTTTTCAAAGTCCAATTGCCCCCCGCTGACCATGCGTGAACAGTTTCCTAACCTTGTGTTAAATTTTCACGTGTTTCTAAATCTTTGCCAGGAACCAAAAGACACAAGTGACCCCGCTGCTGCAGGTATTTGAAGCCAAGAATCGCTTCTGCGACTGTTGCCAGCGCCACACCGGAAGAATGGTTTCACCGTTGCTCTGCTGACTGGAACCAAGTCCGCAACGCAGACAAGCTGCCAGGAGATTGGTCTGGGCGTTGCTGGTACGGCTTGCTAGGCAACTTTGATGAAGCCTACGACTTCTTGCTGAGCCTTGGCCTGTTGTCCGACTCAAATGCAAGAACGAGAGAGAAATCAAAAAGCAAAGTCAACCCGTACCAGAGCGCGTTCAACAAGCTCTTGCCATTTGGGTCTAGTGCTCGTGCCACCAAGACGGCAGGGAGCTACGGTGAGAACCCTGGTAAAACCATAAGCTTGGGCATCACTTGCAACATGCACCCGGCCTTCTACATCCCAATGGAGCGGGGCGAGCTTGGAAGCCACGCAGCCTCCACCAAGGAAAGGTTCCTCATCTCCACTGGCCGCCCTGTTCAACCACATGAGGACATCCCCGCAGACTTTTGCTTGCCGGAAGGACGGGGTCGATTCTTGCACTGTTACATGCTGGATATAGCGCTCACTTCTCGGTATTAAGGCATGTAAAGCACAAACACTGTCATGAATTCAAGTTCTGAGCCTGTCAGTCTTTGTGGATTTTCTGAGTTGAGACGCGTGCAGGAGTCTCGCCATACAGGTGGGTCCCCCTCACTCCTGAGATTGCAGACCTCATTGGGGTTGCTAAAGAAGCAACATCGCCAGACGCAGCTGCCCAAGAATGGGCAGAAGCTGGGCTTGAAGACGAAGCCGCGGCCCAACTCACCCAGAATGCTGCCGGTGAGTATGTGCCGTCGGAAGACGGCTACCTTGTCAGGCTCTTAGATGACAAGCTGACCCGCATCCGCTTCAGGCGATCAGAGGCAGCCCCAAACGGCTTTGAAGCAGAGTGGAGGGTAGCGAACCGAAACTTTGCAATCCCGGAGGTGTGCCGTTTGAGAAATTGCGTTGCTAGGGTGGCCACCTATTTCGCAGCGCCACACCAAGTTATCACTTTGACTTCGGAGGCTGAGTCATGGCATCTGTCTTACCAGGGAGCAATGAATGTCCAAAGCCACGTGGTTCGTGATACTGGAGACATCCAAGCTGGGGCTCGCTTCGGGGCGGCGCCTTGGCAAGTAGGGGTTTTAGCTGCTTTGCTCCTGGTCTTCGAAATCTTTGTCGGAGCCCACTCCCCTGCAGCGCTGGAGGAGCGAGCTTTGCAGGTTACACCCGGGCACTTGCAGCGGGCGTACGCCTTGCTTCAATTGGCTCCTTGGCCGCGTTATTTTGAGTGTTCTGAACGTCACCTTGTTCCCCATGTTCCATCCAGCCTGACGTATTGTCGCAGACCAGGTGCAGCGTCTGAAGCACATTGCCCTTGGAGATACAGCAGCCAGCCCAGACCTACCGCCGCCGCAGGAAGACGTCCGTGCGGATGATTTGGGCGCCTTGCGCATCCCCTATGTGCCTGAAGACTTTGCTTCGACCCAAGCTGGCGCAGGTATTCCAGAGGTGGGCGATGACGAAGAAGGTGACGAGGCTGCAGAAGAGTCGCCGGAGGAACATGTGCCAGAACTGCCAGCACCAGTGGGCAATCCAGGACTGCCGGAGCCAGAACCTTGCGCAGCCGTGAAACCTTTGACCCTGCAGGATGTTCGAGCCAGTGATTTTGGGTTTGGAGACAATGGTGTCACTGTCCAGCCTGACGGCTTGCATAGCCGGAATTTCACCGATAGAACTGTTTTGAAGCAGACCCTTCTTGCTGGCAAACCGAAGATCACTAGGAAAGAGGCTTGTGACAAGATGCGCTCTGAACGAGGGCAAGGACGCAAAGCGCTTCCCAAAGAAAAATGGGTTGCTGTCATGAGGGCTGCAGCTTCCCAATTTCCCGACTTGCTCCGCCTTGACGGAGAGATTTTGTGTTTGAAAATGATTCCCGACACTGCAGCAGGCAAGGTCGCGTACCACAACGACCTCATGAGAGCTTGCCGTCTAAGCCTGCGGGAGTTGATTGCTGCTATGGACAAAGCAGCTGAGAAGAAGGAAGAGCGCCGTGCAAAGCGAGCCAGGGTGGATGACTGAGGCAAGCTGCTTGGGCGCATTGATCCCGTGTAGGATGGTGCCAGCTGCCAACAGAAGTCGGGTTTAAAAGAGCGGCTGCCTGCAGCTGACAACTGGCCCCTGTTCTGTTGTCATCCATCTTCACAAGACAGGTTGAGACCCAGCCCTTTCAGATTTTCCATGCAATGCATCTTCCCTGCCTGCTTTGTCTAGGCATTTCTTCGCCATCCAGCCCTCCTTCTTCTTGTGCATCTTGGTGGCAAAAGACTTGGGCGGAAAGCCTTGCAGGAAGGGTTGGCCAAGAAGGGCGCCCACAATCGCTCGTGCTGCATACTTCCTGCTTCATGCTTTTGGCTTGGCTACTAGCCTGTAACCTGATATTATCTAAGGTGCGAGACTTGCGCAAGGACAACGGGGGAACCGACTTACGACTTGTGGTTGGGATCTCCCATTTCAGGGGCCATGGTCGATAGCAATGGGAAAACGTGGTTGAAGCTGCGGATTGTTTTGATGACAAGCGGCCTCAGTGCGCTGTTAAGTCTCGATCAGCGGGTCAGCTGAACAGCACAGGGGAGCGGATCAGCTGATCAGCGGATCAGCGGACCAGCGGACCAGCGGATCTGCGGATCAGCAGACCAGCGGATCAGCGGATCAGCGGATCAGCGGATCAGCGGATCAGCGGACCAGCGGATCAGCGGATCAGCGGACCAGCGGACCAGCGGATCAGCGGACCAGCGGATCAGCGGATCAGCGGACCAGCGGACCAGCGGACCAGCGGATCAGCGGACCAGCGGACCAGCGGACCAGCGGACCAGCGGACCAGCGGATCAGCGGATCAGCGGACCAGCGGACCAGCGGATCAGCGGACCAGCGGACCAGCGGACCAGCGGACCAGCGGACCAGCGGACCAGCGGATCAGCGGACCAGCGGATCAGCGGACCAGCGGATCAGCGGACCAGCGGACCAGCGGATCAGCGGACCAGCGGACCAGCGGATCAGCGGATCAGCGGACCAGCGGACCAGCGGACCAGCGGACCAGCGGATCAGCGGATCAGCGGACCAGCGGACCAGCGGACCAGCGGATCAGCGGACCAGCGGGACCAGCGGACCAGCGGATCAGACAGCCCCACGATCATAAGTCGGATGCTGGACGGGATGAAGCCGTGGAAATAGCTTGGGGAAATAGCTTGGGGAAATTTTGTGTTTGTTGTTTTTTTTGTTTTTTGCTCTGTTGATTGTGCTTTTTTATGTTCGCGTGGGAGGGAGCGAGACCGGATGCTCGACGGGATGAAGCCGTGGAAATAGCTTGGGGAAACTGCGGTGGGAGGGAGCGAGACCGGATGCTCGACGGGATGAAGCCGTGGAAATAGCTTGGGGAAACTGCGCTGGGAGGGAGCGAGACCGGATGCTCGACGGGATGAAGCTGTGGAAATAGCTTGGGGAAACTGCGCTGGGAGGGAGCGAGACCGGATGCTCGACGGGATGAAGCCGTGGAAATAGCTTGGGGAAACTTCGCTGGGAGGGAGCGAGACCGGATGCTGGACGGGATGAAGTCGTGGAAATAGCTTGGGGAAACTTCGCTGGGAGGGGAGCGAGACAGTATGCTGGACGGGAAACCGTGGAAAATAGCTTGGGGAAACTTCGCTGGGAGGGAGCGAGACCGGATGCTGGACGGGATGAAGCCGTGGAAATAGCTGGGGGAAACTTCGCTGGGAGGGAGCGAGACCGGATGCTGGACGGGATGAAGCCGTGGAAATAGCTTGGGGAAACTTCGCTGGGAGGGAGCGAGACCGGATGCTGGACGGGATGAAGCCGTGCAAATAGCTTGGGGAAACTGCACTGGGAAGGAGCGAGACCGGATGGCTGGACGGGATGAAGCGTGGAAAATAGCTTGGGGAAACTTCGCTGGGAGGGAGCGAGACCGGATGCTCGACGGGATGAAGCCGTGGAAATAGCTTGGGGAAACTTCGCTGGGAGGGAGCGAGACCGGATGCTCGACGGGATGAGCCGTGGAAATAGCTTGGGGAAACTGCGCTGGGAGGGAGCGAGACCGGATGCTCGACGGGATGAAGCCGTGGAAATAGCTTGGGGAAACTGCGCTGGGAGGGAGCGAGACCGGATGCTCGACGGGATGAAGACGTGGAAATAGCTTGGGGAAACTGCGCTGGGAGGGAGCGAGACCGGATGCTGGACGGGATGAAGCCGTGGAAATAGCTTGGGGAAACTTCGCTGGGAAGGAGCGAGACTGGATGCTGGACGGGATGAAGCCGTGGAAATAGCTTGGGGAAACTTCGCTGGGAGGGAGCGTGACAGCATGCTGGACGGGACAAAACCGTGGAAAATAGCTTGGGGAAACTTCGCTGGGAGGGAGCGAGACCGGATGCTGGACGGGACAAAACCGTGGAAATAGCTTGACAAAACCGTGGAAATAGCTTCGGGAAACTGCGCGGGGAGGGAGCGAGACAGCATGCTGGACGGGACAAAACCGTGGAAAATAGCTTGGGGAAACTGCGCTGGATGGGAGCGAGACAGCATGCTGGACGGAAAGCTGTGCTGGGAGGAAGCGCGACAGCATGCTGGACGGGACAAACCCGTGGAAATAGCTTGGGGAAACTTCGGTGGGAGGGAGCGAGACAGCATGCTGGACGGAGAAGAAAGCGTGCAAATAGCTTGCGGAAAGTTGCGCTTGAAGGGAGCGAGACAGCATGCTGGACGGGATGATGCCGTGGAAATAGCTTGAGGAAACTTCGCTGGGAGGGAGCAAGACAGCATGCGGCACGGAGACGAAAACTGTGGAAATAGCTTGCGGAGAGCTTTGCTGGGAGGAAGCGCGAGAGGATGAGACAGCATGCTGGACGGAGAGGAAACCGTGCAAATAGCTTGCGGGGAGCTTCGCTGGAAGGGAACGAGACAACTGGGCGGATGGGAAACCGTGGAAATAGTTTCGGAGAGCTTCGCTGGGAGGAAGCGAGATAGCATGCTGGACGGAGAGGAAACCGTCCAAATAGCTTGCGGAGAGCTTCGCTGGGAAGGAGCGAGACAGCATGCTGGACGGAGAGGAAACCGTGAAAATAGCTTGCGGAGAGCTCCACTGGGAGGGAGCGAGACAGCATGCTGGACGGAGAGAAAACCGTGGAAATAGCTTTGGGAAAGTCCGCTGGGAGGGAGCGAGACAGCATGTTGGACGGAGAAGAAACCGTGCAAATAGGTTGCGGAGAGCTTCACTGGGAGGGAGGGAGACAGCATGCTGCACGGAGGAAAGTGTGAAAATAGCTTGCGGAGAGTTTCGCTGGGAAGGAGCGAGATAACATGCTGGACGGATAGGAAACCGTGGAAATAGCTTGCTGAGCTGGGAGGGAGCGAGACAGCTTGCGGAAAGCTTCGCTGGGAGGGAGCGAGACAGCATCCTGGACGGAGAGGAAACCGTGGAAATAGGTTAAGGAGAGCTTCGCTGGGAGGGAGCGAGACAGCATGCTGGACGGAGGGGAAACCGTGCAAATAGGTTGCGGAGAGCTTCGCCGGGAGGAAGCGAGATAGCATGCTGGACGGAGAGGAAACCGTGCAAATAGCTTGCGGCGGAAAGCTTTGCTGGGAGGGAGCGAGACAGCATCCTGGACGGAGAGGAAACCGTGGAAATAGGTTAAGGAGAGCTTCGCTGGGAGGGAGCGAGACAGCATGCTGGACGGAGAGGAAACCGTGGAAATAGCTTGCGGAGAGCTTCGCCGGGAGGAAGCGAGATAGCATGCTGGACGGAGAGAAAACCGTGCAAATAGCTTGCGGAGAGCTTCGCTGGGCGGGAGCGAGACAGCGTGCTGGACGGAGAGGAAACCGTGCAAATAGGTTGCGGAGAGCGTCGCTGGGAGGGAAGGAGACAGCATGCTGGATGGACAGGAAACCGTGGAAATAGCTAGCGGAGAGCTTCGCTGGAAGGGAGCGAGACAGCGTGCTGGACGGAGAGGAAACCGTGGAAATAGCTTGCGGAGAGCTTTGCTGGGAGGGAGCGAGACAGCATGCTGGACGGGACAAAACCGTGGAAATAGCTGTGGAGAGCTTCGCTGGAGGGAGCGAGACAACATGCTGGACGGATAGGAAACCTTGAAAATAGTTTGCGGCAGAGCTGTTGGCACGGGTTTTTTCAGGACAAATGCCATCATTGCGATTGGCCTGAAAAAAATGTGGACCCAAGACTGGTCAAATGGTCCCAAGACCGGTCAAACGGTTTGCAAAGGCTGAAAAATGGGACATGCACAGAGAAGCTTTTACACAAAAAAAGCCTTTACACAGAAACTTTGACACACAGACGCGTTTACAGAGACACAGAGGAGTCTTGACACAGAAGCCTTTACGCACAGAAGCTTTTTTGCACAGAGTAGCTTTTACACACAGAAGTCTTTACACAGAGAAGTCTTGAGACAGAGAAGCCTGTACACACAAAGGCTTTTACAGAGAGAAGCCTTTCGCACAAAGAAGTCTTGACACAGAGGAGCTTTTACGAGAGAAGTCCTTACACAAACGAGATTTACACGCAGAAGGTGTTACAGATAGACGTTCTTTCGGCGCACAGAAACTTTAACACAGAGCAGCTTGTACACACAGAAGCTTTTACACAAAAAAGCCTTTACACAGAGAAGTTTTTCACACAGGAGCTTTTGCACAAGAAAACTTTTACACAGGAAAGCTTTTACACACAGAAACTTTCACACACAGAAGCTTTGTACACAGAGAAGTCTTTGCACAGAGGAGCTTTTGCACACAGAATCTTGTACACACAGACGCTTTCACACACACACAGGAGGTTTTACAAACAGACAACTTTACGGCGCACAGATTTTTTACACAGAGCAGCTTTTACGCAGCGAAGCTTGTACACACAGGGGGCTTTTTTACACAGAAGCTTTTACATAAGGTTTTTTTAATACACAGAAGCTTTTACACACAGAAACCTTTACACACAGAAGCTTTTACACACAGAAACTTTTACACACAGAAGGTTTTACACACAGAAGCTTTTAACACAAAAA